CAGAGGTAAGAGAAAAGGAAAGGTAAAAAAGAGAGAAAATGAAAGGGGAAGAAGAAATCTGACGTGGGTGAAAAAAAAAAAGAATTATTATTTTTAAATTAAATGAAAATGCCACCTCATAATAAAACATATCCAACTATATTTTTTTTTTCATGTCATTAGTTAAGCAAAAAAAAAAATTTGATTTGCTGGCATTTTAACGTGCCACCTGTCATTTAACTGACGGAAGAACCATTTTGGTACTGAAAATGAAAGTTTGACGATAATTTTGGTACTTTTTAAAGCTGAGGGACAAATTTGGTGTCAAAGTGAAAAGTTGAGGGACCAAAATGATACTTAAACCAAAATTTTATAACCTTTCTGACCAAAAGGATACCCAATGAAAATACCAGGATGAGCACGAGCATCAAATTTGTGTTTAATGTGGGTGTTTCATGCAAAACAAAGACATCCAAGCACACGCAAATGATAATAAGAAGGAACTTTACGGAATAACACTTCGAAAGGAGTTTTTCCATTAAGTACCGTGGATGGAGTGCGATTAATAAGGTAGGCTGTAGTAAGAATACACTCTCCCAAGAATTTAACTGGAAGTTTGGATTAAAATCGAAGAGCTAGAGCAAGTCTATGCTTACACTCGACAACACCATTTTGTTGAGGTGTATCAACACAGCTATGTTCATGAATAACCCCAAGTGAGGTAAAAAAATCAATAACTGCATGATTAAAAAATTCTGTGCCATTGTCACTACGAGTATGACGTATAATAGAGTTAAACTTTGTTTGCACCATGGAAAAGAAATTTCGAAGTATAGAAAATGTCTAGGACTTATGCTACATTAAGAAGACCCAAGTATTCCTAGAAAAGTCATCACAATAGTAGGAAATAATGAGCTCCAATAAGTGATGGAATTGAATATGGTCCCCAAATATCTAAGTGAATTAAATCAAAACAAGCACTCATTGAAATGGAATTAGTGGGAAAAGATAAACGAGTATGTTTTGCCAAAGGGCAAACTGTACAATGACATTTATTAGAAAAAGAAACACTTTGATCTAGATGAGAAAAATGAGGTGCAATACTATGACTAGGATGTCCAAGCCTGCAATGCCAAAGATCCAACAGTAAAGAGTTTGTAGCAAGGGAGATTGCTGGAGGCATTTTATTGTTGATGTCAAGATAATAAAGTCCATGATGCTCCTTCGCTAAACCAATCACCTTCCTTGTCACTAGGTCCTAGAATACACAAACAAGAAATAGAAAAAGAACTGAACAATTAAGTGACTTAGTAATTTGACTAACAGAGAGGAGATTAAACTTAAAGGTAGGCACATGAAGAACATTTTCTAGATGTAAAGAAGAATTGAACTGTACAGATCCCAAATGGGTGGTTAATGAATATTCTCCATTGGGTAATTTAATAGGTAAACCTTTATATGTTTGTGCATTTTGTAAACAAGAAAAACTACTTGTGACATGAGTAGTACAACCTGAGTCAACAACCCAATTTTTATGAGAAAAACTACTATCATTACT